GAGAGTGAATCTGCTTCAACAAACCTTTCCTCTTCTGATTTTCTAGGTCTGAGTCCTCATCCCCGTGCTTTCTTTTGGTTTACCTTGCAGCTTGTAAGAAGGCTAAAAACAAGTCACTTATTGAGCACCAACCATGCATAGACACAAAACCAGAATCCTTACAGATGTTACTCCATTTGATTCTCACAACAGTTTATTGAGGGGCATATTATTGTCTCTACTTTATAGACGGTGAAATTGAGATTCAGAGACAGTTTGTAACTTGATCCATAGACAGGCAGCTACTATATGGCAGAGCAAGGATTCAAATCCATGTCTGCTGAGTACCAAAACCACAGTCTTAACCGATTCACCAGTGTTAATTTAAAGATAAGGACATGTATAGAGCAACTATTTCCTTCTAAAGTTAAGCTCCTATTTATACATTTCTGTAGCACACACTATTGGTGTCCCTTTTCCCTTTTACTATGAACCCACTCCCAGCTTCTGCATGCTTTCCAGCCAATAGCTCCCCCATGACTCACCAATTCAATTCATTGAATTGCCTTTGAGCACTGGAATAGCCTTACCAGTACCCTCTAGCCTCTAACTATTAACGGATGCAGGATTCCAGAAGCCCAGTGCCTTAGCCTGTGCTCTACAGCTCCCCACAGGTTAGCCTGAAGCTGGGGCTTCATCAGAAAGCTCACCTTTGTTTGGCTTCTTTCCCTTCCCCATTCTGCGTCACCCCCTCACCCACACTGGTCTCCCCTGGGAAGCATTTCCTTAACCAATCCCTTGCTCCTGAATTCTTGGCTCAGTGTCTCTGTCTGAGAGAATCTCAGCTAAGTCAATATATATAAAGGAATAAAAGAGGCAAATACTAATAAAATCACTTGGATATTCTGGACTTCTGTGTCAACTTGTATTTTTTTTCTTTTTTACAAAAACATAATTTTGTTGTTTATTCCAAAGTAATGCATATTCATTGTAAAGAAGAACAATAGAAAATACAGATAAGCCAAAGTATGAGAATAAAAGTCAAATCATAATTCTAAAACTCAGAAAGTTACTATTTATGTGTGTTGCATATTTACAAGTCTGAGATCACTAAACACAGTATTCATAATGTTTTTTTAATATAAATCTGACAGACTGTCTTTTTATGCCAGCAAAATTTCCTCTACAAAATCTTTCTTATGCTTATATAGAATTTTGTACTATAATTTTTTGGGGGTGGAACCAAGCTCCCAGGTGATGTTGATGCTGCTGATTCATGGACCACTCTAAATAACACTGATGGCCTTATAGGGCCATCAAAGAACTTCGGCTTTGCTCTGTTTGGGTTTAATGTTAAACTTGAAATAAACTTAGTACTTGAATATCCCCTCACACAATTCCCATTCAAACATATTGTTGAGCCATTCAAATGAATATAAACGCTTCATATACAGGGAAAGAGAATTAATAGGGCTTGACATTAACACTTTCTCTCAGTTTATGTTTATAAATGGTTGAAGGTGATCAGAACATCACTGTATATGAAAGTGGAATTGAGAAAGTGTTGTATTCACTAGGGTGACAGCAAAAAATTGATAGCCTCTGAAAAATCTGCTGTTACAGACTCATTTTCCTTGTTCCTGAATGAAACCATGGGTAGGCACTTTCCCTCACATTCAAGAAATAAAGAGTCCTCTAAGTTATTTTACGAAACAAAATGTCTTGTTCTCAGGAGCTGGCTTGAAGGGGCTTCCACTGGCCAAATCAGAGACAATCTGAGCATCAAAATAAATAATGATAGTAAAGGATTATAACCCATTAAATGAAAAAGGAATGCATGAGTCTATACTGATTTAAATACATAAATTAATGGAGCAGAAGAGAAAGCCCTGCCCAACCGTACAAAGTCAACTAAGAAATGTAGAAAGAATGATGAAATTAGAAAATCATCTTATGGCAACCATCACTGTAATAATTATTTCAGGCAAGAATCATCCATGAATGCTGAAATTCTTGGGTGAAAGTTATGGGAGTAACAGGAAATTTACATACTTGCAAAGGATCTATCCATTAGATACTTATTAAGTACAAAAGAAAAAATAATAACTTTACAGAGGAGAAACCCAGTAGGTACCACTTTAACCAAGAGATTAAAGTTTATGAAGTCTACATCACATATCAACATCATGTGCTTCCTGATAAGATAGATATACCACAATATCACATCTGTGGTATACCTGTCTAAATGCATCACCTGAATCTATTCTTGAGGAAATATAAGACAAGTCAAAATTGAAGGATATTTTACAAAATATCTGTCCTGTATTCTTCTAATATACCAATGTCATAAAAAAAAACAAGAAAGATTGAGGAACCATCCCAAGCAAAAAGAGACCAAGGAGATAAGACAACTAAATGCAGCCCAAGACCTGGGATTTTCTTTTGCTATAAAAGTTGTGATTGGGACAAATAGCGTCTGTAGATTAGATAGTTAATCCAAATATTAATTTCCTAATTTTGACAATTATAATATGGTTATGTAAAAGAATGTCCCTGTTTTTTGGAAATACATATTGAAACATTTATGCGTAAGGACATCATGTCTTCAACTGACACTCAGATAGTGCAGAAAAATATATATACATATATACACATATACATATGTATATGTAAAGAGTAAAAGAGAGAAAGCAATGTGGTAAACAGTTAACATGTAGGTAATCTGGGTGAACAATATACAGGAATTCTTTGTAAAATTCTTACAATTTTTCTGTAAACCTGATATTAAGTCGAAATTTCCAAATGAAAAAACAGACAAAAATCCTCATAAAACAAACAAAATTTAGTTCTAATAGCAAATCTCCAGGCTTTATGTTACAAAACTTGTAAGCAACCAGAGCTCAAGCCTGCCTCAGGGGCAGGTGGGCCTGGTTGCTACTTCACTGACTCATCCAGTCTCCTCGCCCACTCACCAGCTACTGTGAAAGGCCCCTCCACGGTGGAAAGTGAGGGAGGGGTTTAAAGGAGATGGCTGACAGTTGTCATCTGGAGTTACTACCCTCTGGTAAGGCAGAGTCTAAAGTGGACTCTGTCAGTGAGGCTGTTGTGGATATTTTTGGAGTTCCTGGCAGCACCCACTGCATTTGCTGGTGTGAGTGACGCCTCCACTAGCCTTTTTTTTTGAGGAAGATTAGCCCTGAGCTAACATCTGTTGTCAATCTTCCTCTTTTTTGCTGAGGAAGATTGGCCCTGGGCTAACATCTGTGCCCATCTTCCTCTACTTTATATGGGACACTGCCACAGCATGGCTTGATAAGCAGTGCATAGGTCTGCGCCTGGGATCCGAACCTATGAACCCTGGGCCACGGAAGCGGAGTGCGCAAACTTAACCACTACGCCACCGGGCTGGCCTCCCCTCCACTAGCTTTTAACTTAGTAGTACACCTCCAGCAATGGTCAGTTCTATGTCTCAGTTTGTCTGGGTTATAGAACCTGGTTACTCAATCAAACACTAATTGTAGGTGTCACTGTGAAGGAATTGTGTAGATGCAATTAACATCTACAATTAGTTGACTTTATGTAAAGGAGATTATCCTCAATAATCGGGGTAGATCTGATCCTATCAGTTGAAAGGCCTTAAGACCAGAACTGAGGTTTCCCTGAGGAAGAAGAAATTCCCTTTGTGAACTGCAGTGATAGCTCTTGCCCAAGAGCTTCCAGCCTGCCCTTCCTGAGAGCCTGCTCTGCGAGCCCCTGCAATCACGTAAGTCAACTCCTTGCAATAAATCTCTTTATCTATCTATCTATCATCTATCTATCTATCTATCTATCTGTCTATCTACCTACCTACCTACCTACCTATCTATAACCTACCTATACTACTGGTTCTCTCTCTCTGGTCAAACCCTGACATTCCTCTTGTCCAAGCATGAGTCAGGCCCCAGGCCCAAATCCCAACGGACACTTGTAAGGTTTCATGGTGGGTCTCTCAAATCCCTCCTTCTCCCCTATCCCACGCATGCTTGCCTGAAGGAAAAGTCACATATGATATCTAGTCATTCTCTATTTTATATATTTTTCTGGTATCTGGAAATTTTGTCCAAAGTATCAGCTATTGTATGAATACCACTCAAACTGCTTCTCAATTGTACAAGACCCTGGGGCAAATCCTCCTTGCTGGGGAAATGTTTATTTTGTAGTAAACAGAAAACAAGAGAATGCACTTTTAACATTTTTGCTAGGCAGCTCTGAATCATAATTAATACCATAAATATTGTCTTAGTTTGGATCTATCCAGAAGCCATCTTGAGACAGGATATAGGTGTAAGTATTTGGGAGGTGATCTCAAAAAAGGCCAGAAGGAGTGGGGAAAAGTGAGAGGACAGGGAAGGGAAGGCGGCCAAAGGAGGAGGCCAAACGAATGACCACCGTGGGCAATGTGATCTTAATCGCGCTGGGGAGCTCTAGCATCAGTAAGAACACGCATTTCAGAATAATCCCACCAGAGCGGTGAGGGAGCTGGGGTGTTAATACACTGACTCTGTTCAGTCACTGGTTGAGGGCTGCTTCCAGGAAATGTTAATTCTCACATACTTTGGCCCTCCTGTACAAGTTTAAGTGTCAGAGGCAGTCTTCCAGCATCTGGAAGTCAGACCTGAGAGTACTACAATCCCAACACAGAGGAGAAAAGGGTGGAGTGCTGACAGGGGCTGCTAGAGGTGAGAAAGCTTATTTCACCCAAGGTATATAATACACATCAACTACAATATTGTGTGAGAAACACTCTCCTTCCTTAATGGATTAAAAACTACTTTTCTTCCCTAATATTAAATTGTTTTCATCAATTTCCACTAGAATTATATCTTTAACAAACATAATGGTGTACATCTTGTAAATTTTTTGACAACAACATTATGTTTATAACCAAAATGCCATTTATTTCACTACATTCTTGAAGAAGATTGGGGGATTTATCCAGAATGACATGCAGTTCATTGGAAAATAAAACACACCTTTTCCAAACAGTTCAGAATATCTATAGTTGTTAAAGCAGAAACAAATATTTGGTTACAAATTCTTAATTTGTGGATTGCTTTGGCTTTGATGGAAATATCTATTTTCTCCAAAGTTTGGTCTCTGGGTCTCAGAATGTTTACCCCAAGAAGCAACTGCTGTGATTTAGGCCTTGAGGGCAGCTTCCCTTGCTTGAGCTTTCTCTGTGATGTGCTTCTGAAAGGGCATCATGAAGTCATCAAAGTCCACCTCGTAAGTGAACCTCTCCCGCCGCAGTTCCCTCTTCCTGATCAGCTCTGCCGTTGTGGCTTCAGGACTCCAAATCTTAAATAAACAACCACATCCAGAGCAGGCATGAGTATGACAGCCAATAAACATGCCATATTCAGACAATTTTCAATATGGTTCATTTAAAACTATCAAATTTACTTCTAATCTTTCTTAGCATCATCTACATGCTAATCATCTTAGCATTCTTAGTATTTCTCCTCTGCCATGGCATCAGTGGTTACTTGGACATCACTATTTCTGATGGTGACTATTTGGACAACTGAAATGCTCTTCAGTTACGTCTCTGAAGATCCTTGGGCCCACTGCTGTTCATTTTTAGGACATCAAAACAAGGAAGCAATGGACTTAGTAGATCATTTGGGTTTACTACCTTTATGTCTTATGGGGAAGTCAAAATTATTTTCCTAGTAGAAGGCAGAGGGAACTGGTGGTCTCTTATTAAGTATGGTTTGATGGACATCGGCAAGACCACTCTTATTCTCCAAAGATGTCTCCGCCTCTTCAACTGTAGATGTTTTAGGAAACTACTGACTAAATCCAGTCTTGATTAGTATGAAACTCTTAAGTGAGAAGGTGGTAGTGAGTAATAATAAGAAGGGTTGGGTCTGAAAATTACCAAGAAAATGTATCTGTAGAATTTGGTGACTAAATGGCTATAGGGAATGGCATTGACCAAAGAAGACTTCAATCTGTTAAGGAAAATTAAAATGTCAATATAGAAATAGTAATACAGGGAACCAGATTGGGAGCTAAACAAGTTGGACTTACTGAGTTGGAAGTAGTAGGACCTGGCAAAAGGACACCTTCAAACGGTAACTATGAAAGAACCTTTGGACATTTGTTTGGGTGCTCTACATAAAAAGTATATGAAAAGTGACATTATGAGTTTATACCACGTTATGAAGATCTTTCCAAAGTACCTACCCTCCGTGGAACAAATGTGATATCCACTTTCTTGGTATAACCACTGGTAATCAATGAATTGAGATGAACCACATTATCTTTACGCATTTTCTTTTTCTCTGATACAGTTGACACAGCATAAATTGACGAAAGTGGTTCCTGGAAACAGGACAAAAAAAAAAAGCTATCAATTGGAAAATCCTATATACACTTTCTAATATTATTTATTGTTCTACATCTTACTCTGAAGCCAGGGGAACAAATAACTAAAAATACTACCACACAAATTATAATTTGAAGTGAAATAGATTATTATTATAATTTTGGATGGGGAGAGATAATTAGTTTGCCTTGTTTAACTCTATATAATTAGTAGTATCAGTGACAGATCACATAATTCTTCAAGACAGCCATTCTTACCTGTGGCCATTCATTAATCAGAAGGATGTATTTCTACTAAAATGATAATGGTGCATGTAGTAGGAGCTTTAGCTCATTGATCTTCCTTCACCTCTGGCCATCCTTACTCTCATCCTCCATGTTTATTACTCTCTACTGTCTGCCTACGATCCATTTACCCTATCTACTTCCTACCACCTACATTTCTCCAACCCTTTCCAATTTGATAACATTAAAGCTTTTCCTTCTTGAATGTCATCCCCTGTCCTGTGTCTGCCAAGAATCTCCAGGGATCCTTCTGCTTCCCTAAAAGAGGCTTCCATCCTAGAAATGCACTTAGGGCTTCCCTGCTAATGACAAAGTCTTGATGTCTCAGAAATTCCCATGGGCAACAACCTCAACCTTCTGCCGGTGGTTTAGAGGCACTTAAACCACTCCAGATTCCCAGGAATAATCAATCTGGTGCCTTTAAAACCTTGAGTCATTTTGCAGGATATCCAAGTTACAAGTGGCCCCATATTCCAGGGTTCAATAGTAATCATTAAAATTCCTTGGGAGGGGGGTGGTGGGAAGATGGGTAATGAAAGATTATAAGATCAAAATGAAGGAAAATCATGCTTTACTTCATTCCTCAGAAGGGTTACCCTCCTTCCCTGTTTGGGCCATCTCATCAAATCTGTACAATTCAGGACCAAATATACACACATCCAATACCTGGGTTTTTTTCAACATTCTAATTGTATTTGGCTCAACCAACTTGGTTTTTGTGTGGATTCTGTTTGCAATGAACACTTTTTAGACTTTTCATTAATAGGAATTTTCTTGCTAGATATACTTTTAAAAGTATTGCATAATAGTGCTAAAAATATGGATTGCACACTATTTTGACTATGTAAATAGTTGTGTAGCAATATGTAACCAGTGCCGCAGCTCCAGCCCCCAGAAAGTTTTTAAGGCCTTCCCGGTACTAATTGGTAGTCCATCGCTTTCCATACCTCTTCTTTCTTAACCTCAGGGCCTTCAGTCTTCGCTTTAAGAGATGGCTTGCCTTTCAGTTTTTGATTTTCTGCTGGTTTTGGTAAGCTATCTAGCTTTTCTTTAATCAAACTAATTATTCTATAATCAGCATATGCCTTTGCAACATCCATGGCACTATGCCCTGTTCAAAAGATAAATTCAGAGTGACAATAAACAGATTAATAACAGACCATGTAGAAAAATCTCAGCACACCAGCCCTAAGCATGTGATAGTAAGGGTGATTACTAAGCAAATGGTATGTGTAAAGTCACAGAGCTAGATCAGATATTCTCTAAGGTGGACCAGCTCAAAATTCTCATAATTTAAAGTGCCATTTACCAGCAAGATAATTTTTTCTTGTTAATTTTTTTGAGCATGTTTCTTTCTTTCTTTTTCTTCTTTTGTTTTTTCGGTGAGCAAGATTGGCTCTGAGCTAACATCCGTGCCCATCTTCCTCTATTTTGTATGTGGGTTGCTGCTGCAGCATGGCTTGATGAGTGGTGCATAGCTCCACACCCGGGATTTGAACCTGCAAACCCCGGGCCGCCAAAGCAGAGCACATGAACTTAACCACTATGCCACCCGGCTGGCCCTTGAGCATGGTCTTAAAGAGTAGATAGGAAATATTGGTAGATTGCACTTTGAATAGCTGATTGCTGGTTCTCTTCCCACCTTGCACACATTTCCCTTTGTGTGACAGTTTTACATTGTCCTCTCCCTTCCATGATGTAAGGAGATGTATTCAAAAAGCCCTAGGGAAGCTGGTGGTCACAAGTGCTCTATGCAGATAGCTAGGTATTAATCACACCTGTAATGACCTCAGGCAGGCCTAACACAATACTACCCGTGACTTAGAGGAGCCTGAAGCAGCCAGAGGTATTAACGCTCTTTCAGATCAAAAGGAAGCAATGAGTCCCACTATAAGAAAATGACACCTCCAAGTAAGGAGCTCAAATATTTATTCAAATGATTATTTATTCCTCATGTATGATATTTATGACATAAAGTAGGCCTCCCATTTACTTCCTACAGAGAATCTCAATTCAGGAATTACTTTGTTCAGCTTTGGAAGGCATCCAAACTCTACAGAGGCTTTAAACTATGGCAATTATTAGGAACTGACAGTAAAAACAGTGTGATAACTCGAAGGGTGATTTACATACTGGTGCAAGTCCACACACTAATGGTTACTGGGCCTTAAAAAAATAACTGCAGAAGAGTAAGTGATTAGACATTTTTATAACAATTCGATAGAAGAATTTTCTTGTCATTTGAATCTAATGATAAAGTTTGGGATTGTATTTTACGGTTTTTTCCACTACATTTTTCCAGTAAAGCATTTTTTTAATGTATTTTACAAAAGTATCAGTTCACAACAGATTGCAAACATAAAGAACTAGTCCTTTAACACCAAAGATTTGAGAAGCACTGAGTATAAGACAAACTTCCATAACATTTAACTCAGGCTTGTGTTTGCAGCAGTAACACAGGGGAAAATGTGGTCCTACAAGGATAAAATCAGAAGGGGTTTGGAATCGAACATAAATCTCCTTTTCTAACCCTAATCATTGATAATATGAACACGTACCTTTCCTATTTTCCAGCTGGAATTTAGCACCAATATCAAGTAAGTATTTTACAGTATCCAGTCTACAGCTCTCGATGGCTCTAGTTAAAGGAGTTGAGTTGTTGATTGAAACCGCATCTACCACGGCTCCGGATTTAACAAGAAGCTCAACAATATCTTGTTGGCCTGCATGGCATGCAAAATGAAGTGGAGTCCACAGAAAATTATCTGTTGCATTAACGTTAGCTCTATAAAAGAAGATAGATGCACAAGCTAAAAATATGGGTTGTTCCAAGCACTGGAGGCTAAAAATCCTAAGCAAGATTTCATCCAGTTTTATCAAATTCTTCAACTGTAAACCAAGGAAGCTGTGACTAAAGTTAAACTTTGCATCATAATTTTTCTTGACATGTTTTGCATTATCTGACATCTTAACTTTCTCTGTGTATATATACATTTTGTTTAGTTTTAAAAGGCACCTAGATCCTAAGGGTTACAATTTTTACAAACGTTAAAATGAAGGAAAATTATAAAACTGGTTCCAATGAAGATAAAAGCTGATGGAAAATATAAATGTTATATTATTCCATTTTGTCTACTCTCTCTGCACATGATGAATTTTTAAATGCACCTTCACTATTTAAATTCTAAGCATTATAATGTATTATTTAAAATTTTAGCCCTTTTTAGAAATTCACTGTCCAAAAGTTCAAATTCTCTTTAGTTGCTTTATATTCTCTCTTGATAATATACAAATTTGAATCCTTCTTTGACATTAAACATAGTAATAATAATGATAACAATACCTTTTATCAAGTATGCATTACTGTGCTTATAAGTGCTTTGTATATTTTAACTCATTTACTCTTCAACAAATTCTGTGAACTGAGTCCCATTAGAGCCCCATTATAAAAATGAGAACACAGAGGCACAGAAAGGTTAAGAAACTTACCTCATGTTATTCAGCTAGGGTAGAAGAAGAAATTAACCCCGAGTTTGCTTTAGATTAAAAAGTTAAATAAAAATATCACTCTTTGATATTTTAAAGATATTTACAAATGAACCAAGGAAAAGACTGCTCCCTCTGGAGGAGGGAATGAAACATGTCCTTAGTCATTATGGCCACTATTCCACGTGTTTAAATTTGTTGAGATTCCCACAAAAAAAAAAAAAAAGAGGCAGCTTAAAAAGTAACTCCATGTAAAATGAGTAAGTTCTAGAGATCTACTATACAATATCGTGATTATAGTTAAAAATACTATACACTTAAAATTTGGTAAGAGGATAGATCTTATGTTATTTGTTCTTACTACAATACAAAAACAATTTAAATTTCAAATAAAATAAAATAAAAAGTGACTCCACCTCATCGAGGTAAAGCACTGAGACCAAATTAAATCGTCTTGGGAGGCCAGTGATACCCAATCAGAAGGCTTCTTCTATTCCCCAGCGTGAAAACTGCTTCACCTTCACTTTGCGCACAGTTGTTATTGGCAAACTATCTTTGTGCACACACGCTCCTATGTTCCCATTAGCCTGGGTCCCCGTATACGAGCTATTTGTAATCTAGACTTCACAAATGAAGTGCTTTCTTGTGCTACTAAAATTCTGGAGGTGAATGTATCTTAGCCTTTCTTTCACTTCCTTGAAATGTGAAGACGCATCAAAATTTAAACCTCACTCAACCAAAAAACATACCCTTTTTCAAGAAGAAACTTGACCGCGTCTATGTTTCCACTGGCACAGGCAGTCATCAATGGAGTTTTGTAATAATTATCTTTCATATCCACAGGTATTCCTGACTCAAACGCCTTTTTCAGAGAAGCCAGGTCTCCTGCCTTGGTGATAAAATTAATATTTGAAAATACCTTCCCTGGATCATCAACGTACCAAGCAGAGTCATCCTGAATGGGATGTTCTGGTGGGTGATCTAGATTAAACCGATTGCAATCAGTTACATTCTTATAGGTTTCAATCATGTAAAATGGTGGCCCACCATCACTCCGGCGTGGAAAGACATGGTCAGAGATGATGCAGACTGGGAGAGGTAAAACAAACTTGCCTTTCTTCATCTTTTTGGCCATCCCTTTTTTCCTTTTCTTAGGCCCATAGGATCCCAAGACATAAGACTTACTTAAGTATTGGGTTCCTTTAAAGAAATCGTTAATGTTGACCCCTCCTCCTCGGAGTTTTTCATGCAGTTGAGCTATGACAGCCAGCTGTTCTGAGGTCACAAACTCCTGCCTCTCCTCCAGTGCCGTCACAAAGTCCTCCTTGCTGACTGTCCCATCTCCCCTGTCCACTAACGAAAAGGTTTCTCGAAGGAAAGTCTCATGTTCTACTGACCAATCATGAAGTCTTAGGGCCCAGAGTGGATTAGGATTTTTGGCTCCTGGCTTGGCCAGTTTATTAGCGATTCGCTCTGCCCTCCGTATTTCTTTGCTTGCTGCTTTGAAGCCGCCTTCCTTAGCCACAGCCCTGGGCGTTTTATGATCTAAATTCTTCCATTTCAGGTCACATCCTAAAACACGAAGCATCATTATTATGAATGGTGCCAAGGCACGTGCATGGCTCTACAAATGACATTCATCCAATTGTCTTCTTAATTTCGAGGGATTAGAAAAAGTTTGTCCCCAAATTATTTGTAGAGATGAGCACTTTTCGCTATTATAATTACAAAATTAAGCTGTGATTTTTTTTCCTGTGAGCTTCACTTTGGTAATTCTGAGGAAGAGATGTTTCCAATATACATTATCTGCTCCCAAAGGATTAGACATTAATCCCTACAGATATTTGAAACAAATATTTGAAACAAATATTATATTGGGATACTTGCTAAGGAGACTTTATGCCAAGAAAGAAAAAAGTAAGGATGACATCTGAATTTGGAAAGAAGCTGGATTCAGACAGCTTATGTAGGACCTTAGGAACTCAGAATGCTGAGCAACACCTGCTTCATTTTGAAGATTATGACTGTAAATCTGTGTACAATGTTAAACTATATTTTATCCATATTCTCCATGAAATTAACATAATTTATATTGATCTGCTGTTTGGTGGCAAGGTCATATGAACAACCCAACAGAGAGAAAAGTAATTTGTTGATCAAATTGGAAAGGATTCCAGTATTCTATTTGATCAAGTTAGGCATTAAAATTCATTTTCCTTTTTGGTCCCATACTTAAAATGATGAGACCAACATTACATGTAGGTATTTTCCAAATAAATAAACTTTTCTGAATGCATCAGGGAATCTACTTAGTGCTATGGGGAAGGCTGTGTTGTCTCTAATAAGTGTCTTGAGACATTAAAAATCCATTCTGTATATAAATAAGTCAGATGATGAAGAAGCTCTTTCTAGTGTTTTGCATCTAGAAAAAGGCTCTTCTGTTGCTTTACCAACATCACGTAATCAAAAAAGATTGCTCCGCACTCACTGTCTCTAGCAACCAACGTGGATAAGCAGCTGCATGCAAAAAGAAAACACGCCTCTCAACACCTTATAGTTTTATTTCTGGTCCAAAAGAAAATTAATCACCAATGCTTTCCAAGACTAACACTTCCTTTGCTATGGTCAAAAATTAAAATTTTATACTAAGGCTGATAATTTTTACTAGTGATAGAAAAACTCAAAAAGAGTATTGGGACAATAAGGATTCTAAAATTTCTACATTGGCCAGTTTTAAGAATAGTGACTTACGGGAAGGGGACCTTGAGACTGGTCTCAATAGTGTAATTCCACAGCACAGTAATTCCATAGTCACTCCAAGTACGATGTTGTTACTGAGCTTTCTTGTTTATTCAGGGTCTCTGGGGGCTGATCTACCATTTCCCAAGCCACTCCTTCTGTATCCACCCCAGCACTAAGGACCAAAGGAGTTTAAAGCTGCTTTATCTTGCCCTCTTCCAGTTTTCTCCTAGTTAGAAATCTTTATGTGGATAAAAGACTCCAACGTTACAGCTTAAAGATCTGAAGGCATTTTTCCTCTCCTTTTGACTAGGGACTTTTTGTCTCCTCCTTTATAATTAGTACATAAAGACCCATTTATTCCCTTTGTGATTTATGTTTCTCTGTGGCTGAGATACTCAACTTTCAGCTGTCTGGTGCTGGAGAACTCCAGCAGCCAGAGGCCCATGAAAAGAACTCTCCATGGGGGCTGCAGGAGAACTACTCCAAACCCCCGTCCACTGCTCCTGGATGTGGCACTCAACACTGCTCTCAGTGTCTTGTAAATTGCTCCAGAGACAGGAATAGTGGCAAAAGAGGGGCATACTGAGGAAAGCTTTTACATGTAAGAATAGAAGAGACTAAACCCAGGGAGTTTACTCAGAAATTAGCATCTCACTGCTGACAGTTTCTTGTGGCTCTGATTGCCTTAGAGCTAAGAGTCTAAAGGTGAAAATGTAACTGATAACTGCTATGGAAATGGGTCATCCACATAGGATCTGGTGAAGCAGTCGCACTTCCAAACACTGCAGAACTCAGAACATTTGCAGATATTTGTTTTAGAAACACAGTCTAGTCTTATGATTCTGCCAGGAAGATGAATCTTTTCTGCATCACTGGGCAAGGCCTTTGGCATGGCCCATGCTTTGGTCCTTCACTTCTCAGTCTGCTTTCTATGACCTTCTCCCAAGAGTACATACACGACAGAGTACATGTTTGGTGATGTTTGCCCCAATAACAAAGCAGTCAACATATTAAAGTTGAAGAAGCTGTCTCAATCTGGGCAGATCTTTAGTTTTTACAAATGTACAATGCTAAAAAGGAAATGTCGGGGCCAGGCTGGTGGCGTAGTGGTTAAGTTTGCATGCTCCACTTCGGCAGCCCGGGGTTTACAGGCTCTGATCCCAGGCACGTATCCCAGGCACGGACCTACACACCGCTTGTCAAGCCACAGGTGTCCCACATATAAAGTAGAGGAAGACGGGCACAAATGTTAGCCCAGGGCCCATCTTCCTCAGCAAAAAGAGGAGGATTGGCAACAGATGTTAGCTCAGGGCTAATCTTCCTCACCAAAAAAAAAAAAAGAAATGTCAGAATAAACTGCTGATAGAGACAGATTTGAAAACAAGACTGATGAGACAGTTTATGAGTGCAAAAATTGCATTTGATGTATTTTCCTTTATTTATTTATTAAAAGTTTTTATTATTTTATGGTGATGAGGAAAGAGTATGAGCCTTGTATAACTTCATAAAAAGTAAAAGTGGATCAGCTATTACACTATTAGCAGCCACGTTATTTATAATATTAGTGGTTATAGTATAGGCTCTCTAGGTCCTAGTGATTTCTAGAATTCTGTGCCTGTGTAGAAGACAGAAAAACAAAAGCACTTCCTCTGCTCTATTACAGTCGTTTTTTCCTATTTCTCATAAACTGGAAAAAAAAACCCACTATCATAAAGTTCAGCAGAATGCAGTTCCATCTCTAAGAGTTAAAAACTTTTAATGTACATTCAATTAGCATGTAATTAACACCAAATTGATCTATATCTTTAAACTGAATTAGCTAATATTATCACTCTAAGGAATATATTAAGCTATACATAACATACTTTATATTTCTAAATTAATAAAGTTACCTAAAAGCTATAGGAAAATCTAAAATAATAAATATTACTTACATTTCAAATTTTCCATAAAAATTTTCATTTTATTTCATGTTTCTCCCTGAAATATTTCCCCATAATTTCAAATTATCCAGAAAAGTTATCTTTGCACTTGACACAATAGAATGTTTTTAAAAATAAAATAATTAAGAATTCAGACTACAAGACATGGTTTCCAGTGTTTGTCCTTTTTTAGACGGATGTTGACATTTTTAAAAGAAAGAGTTTAATAACTATAAGCATTTTAATAATTAGTTGACTCATGAACAATCCTCTTTATATTTTTAACAATAACCTAAAAATATTTGGGAAAATGGGCTTTCATCATTTTTAAAACCAAATTCATGATTTAACAGAAGGCAAAGTAAGAAAAAATTCTCAATTTTCTTTCTATATATTTGAGCAAGGTTGGGCTACTGAAACAGATAAGCAACTGACAAGCGACAGCTCATCTACAACATGGGTAAATCAGAGACACTCTCAGCACAAAACTGCTGAACAATTTTACCTCGTTGAGCTATATATTTACAGCAATCTGCAAAACCACCCATGGCAGCATAATGAAGTGGTGTGTTCCCATTCATTGCAATCAGTCCCATGTCGCCATTGTAGGCAAAAAGCAGCTTCAATATCTGCAAAATAAATAGTGGATATTGCAGAGGAATAGGAATGCACATTTACTGAATGAAGACTGGCACCTAGACCTGTGCTACCCAATACATTACATGTTAGCGACATGCGGCTATTTAAAATTAAACTGAAATGAATTAAACAGAAAACAAATTTTAAAAATTCAGCTCCTGAGTTTCACTAGCCATATTTAAAGTACTTAAAAGCCACATGTGGCTACTGTTTTGTACTGTATTGTACAACACAGATATAGGACATTTCCATCATTGTCAAAAGTCCTATCAAACAACGTTGATCTTGAATATACAAAATTATATAGTCAGCTGGGGCACTACCATTTTGGTAAATCTAGGCAATTTTAGAAAGCAGCAGACTATGGCAAACATCATCAGGGGAGCCATTTCTTTACCAAACGTGACTCCTATGGTGATGTATTCTATTATTGTAGGGAAGAGACTCAATGGCAAAAATAAAGATAACTATGTTAAAACTCAGAGGAGATTGAGTAAAGAAATTTTAGATGTAATTTAGAATTTTAAAAAATAGGATAGCATTGATTCCTATTTTGTTTCTGCAATGTCACTGTACCTATGAGATAGCCTCTGCTGATATGTCCAGATAATCAGAATACTTAGAGTTCAAAATTAAGGTGAGGCATTAGATGCACACAAACAACATGGAGACAAGTGTATGTTGGCATTGTTCTCCCCACAATTAGATCAGACCATATTTCGAAGATTCTAACATGTAATGGAGGCATAAAATAGAGTAGTCTTGGTTGGCAAAACTTTTAAATTGTCGTAGCTAAGAATACAGAACAACATCATGAGTAATATTAAGTGACTAAATTAGCAAGCAGATAAGCCTGAATAAAGAGCCGAATATATTTTTTAAAATAATATTTTGTATAAAATATTATTTTAAAATTATTTAGGGCAATCAAGATGATAATTGAGAAAAAGTTCTGTCTTAGTGTAACATACATGATATTTTAAAATTTTGAGGAAAAGGAGAGAAGATTTTTAGCAACAAATTTTAAAGCAAAGAGTGGATTATTACATCAAAAAAGCCTCCTTTGGCAGCAAAATGTGCAGCGTGATGCCTTTCGTTGTCAAATGCATTCACTTCACCTCCTCTTTCCAATATCCCTCGAACTAGCTCTACCACTCCCTCTCTTGATGCTTCCATTAAAGCCGTGCGACCTGTGGACTGGACACAAAACAGATCAAATGCTGTTTATACCTGTTGTATTAAATAACATATTCAGTATAAATATGGTCTAAATCCATTTGGCCTTAGATTCACACTGACGTGTTTAGTTCTCTACATTTTTAATAGTTTCGTGTAACAAATAAGAAAAATGAAGCCAGTACAACGTGTCAATGTCCAAAGTGTAGAATTCTAAAATCAAAGTCAAGGTCACACCAGATATCCCTGTGAAAACATCATGCTAAAATCATGCAAAGACAGTAGAACCAAAAGGGAGAAAAGAAGTTAAAATATATGCTAAAATTAGGTTATAGGTGTTTTGTAATAAGAAGAAAATCTATTTTTATTGTCTGGAAATGACAATTAAAAGATAAGAAAACTGAATAAAATTAACCAAGTGAGGAGAGGGAGCAAAACAGATAAGGGAAACAGCAAACTACATATGTTCTCTCCAAGAAGATAAATTTTTCTTAGGTATCAGTGTTATCTTTTTTATTTCCTATAATGATCTTTTAACATTATGCATAATAAATACCAATTTTCCAAACATAATTAGGAAATAGACTGTAGAATCATGGCAATATAAAGATAATGAAATTATATGATCTTAAAGCATTTTGAATAGAAATGAACAGTCTGTAAGCTAACAGGACAATTTAAAAGCAAAAATTACACTAATAAGACTCTATAATTGAAAAAAGGAATATTTATAATCACGGGAATAGTCATACTGAGTTGATAGCATTTGGATTGGCTCCTTTTTCCAAAAGTGTCAGGCACACATGTTTAACATCATGTGCTTCTTCGCAAGCTCTAAGGAATATTGGCTTTCCTTCATAGGTAGAATTGTTGACATCTGCACCATGTTCCAGGGCAATCAATGCACAGCGATAATGCCGCTTAGTAGGTAAAATGCAGTAAAACAAAATACCTGCAGAAAAATAGAATCCCCCAAAGGTACTTAATTAATAGGAGAGGGAGCAAAATATATATGTCTCTATATGTTTGAATCAGATAGGAAGGACAAAAATAATTTTAAAATCCATAATTATCTAGTTGAAGGTGGTAGGTATTTCTGCCTTGCTTGTCCCTCTGAAATCAGCTGAAACACCAAGACAGAGAAACAACAAAAAATTAACCTCTGATAAAGTAGAAAACAGTCACAAACAAATGTGATAGGACCTGGTTTAGAGACGAATATGAGTGCTGATAAGGGTATTTGGCATCTTGCAATCTATACCCCAAGTGTTTGTTCTTGGAATGTTCAGGGCAGTATGTGTTAGATAGCTACTGGTGGGTGCCTGGGTTCCTTCTGAAACTGCAGAGTGGCAAGGGAGAAGGTACTGAATGATGAAATGAGCAGCTGGCCATGTTTCTAAGAAGCAGGCTGTCAGTAGAAAAACTGGATAGCAAGTGGCTCTGCATTTTGGCAAATCATTTTGTTCCATTAAAGAGAGTAAAATGCGAAATCCCCACACCCAGGACCTATGACATACAAGCCCTCAATATAATCCATGTCAAAAATGTACTACAGATCAGGGGTATCATTATAATCCCAAGGCAGAGTGTTGGTAAAAAAGTCAGGTAAACAAAAGTCACACTCCAAACTGACTTTGTAATGACCTGACTCTAATAAAAAGAGGCTTCATTCAAAGAGGAACAATAACCAATGAGAAACCAGCATGTGACCTATGTAAAAAAGATACTGAAAGAAAGGAAAGGAACCTGATGATGAAAACTAAGAAAAAAGTATATACTAGAAAAACTATACCAAGTGAAAATTATTGACTGACCCATTTCCATGATAGCAAAGAAATTAAATATAACTTTTTCTCAAACAAAGGTGCAAAGATAGACCAAGACCTAAAAGAAGGACTGCTAAGACATTAGAAGATAAATAGAAGGACAAGATGAAATTAAGCCAGCAGAATTTAGGACAGAAACAGTAGAGGAAAATAAAACCACTAAAGTGGTTGGAAGGCAAATTGGAAGCAGGAAAAGGGAGAGCAGACACTGCCAAAATCACAGTCAGGGACAGGGAGAAAAACTTGAAAGAACTAAGAAAAATGTAATTGAGATGATGCAAGAGTTTAAATGGTCTAGAGAGGCAAAGAATATTTAACATGTGTGTAATTGGTCTCCAATAATAAAACACCAAATGGAACAGAAAAAATATGGAGAGATATAAGAGAAGAAAACTTTCTTGATGTAAAAATGTGAATCTGAAGATTGAAAGAGCATACTAGGTCTCAGGAAAAATTAAGAACAATCGACAAGACCTGCCTTGTAAAGCTAGGTAAAGAAAGTGTCCTGTGAGCAGCCAGGTAAAAATTCACTTCATCTATAGAGAGGAAAAGTCAAGCTGGCCTCAAGACTTTGCCACAGCAACATTCAATGCTGGAAAATAACTAAAGGATCTCTATGATGTCATTGGGAAAGAAAATAGGGAATTTTTATACCTATCAAGCTGTTGTTCATATATAAAAGCAGAGGACATGTAAGTTTAAGAATGCAAAACTTCAGAGGATATAAGCCCAAAGGCGTGAACTAAACTACTCGATGACAAAAACAAGTCTACCAGGAGATCAATAGAGAATATGAGACTAAAAGACCAGTGATAGACGCTGAATCCCTTTCACCATAGAACCAAAGCTGAATCACCTTAGAAATTCTAGATACAGAAAAGGATATTGTACATAATCATGTAGAAGTAATAATGTAATTTAACAAAAACTTGGAGGGAAGGAGAGGGAGTATAAGCATCTGATTTTGTCATTTTTTACTGCAGGAATTTGAGATATTATTTAAAGCAGATAAAGAGATAAGGTAAGTGACAGATGTTTACTATGTAAAGATATAAAAGGAAACATTGAAAGAAACAAGATGACTATAATTTACTAAAATTGGGTGCTGGAAGGGAGGTAAAGGAGGTGAGAGGAAGGGTTATTGCACTAATCTCATCTCTCACAGTAAAATATCAATGAATACTCTGTAAGGTGCTAATTCAACACATAATGTAAAACTCTTGAGTTAACCATTAAAAGAATTAAAAACAATTCTCATGACAAGAAAAAAAATTCTGTAACTATGTATGGTGACGAATGTTAACTAGACTTATTGTGATGATCATTTCGCAATATATACAAATATCAAATCATTATGTTGTACACCTGAAACTAATATAATGTTGTAAGTAAACTACATCTCAATTAATAAATAAATAATAAAGAAATAAAACTGCCATTCCAACAACAACAAAAAGAACTAAAAACAGACCATTAATTTCAGAAAGTACAAGTAGAAGGAAAATACACACATACAGCAAAATATAAAACAAAGAACGTACGGACCATATAGGAAAATATTTTTACACATATTTATTTATATGTGTATATATATTAAATATATTATGCCTCATAGTATAAAATAAATGACAGTTCTAAGGCCAAACCTATGGGGCATCTAGATAAATATAAACTGGATAAACTCTACCATTAAAACAAAAAACACAATTTATATGAAAATCTAAATCTAAATATATTTCATATAAACAGATGCATCTAAAACAGGGTTACTCAGCATAGTTAAAAATGGAAAGACAGTCAAGGACATGGTTGAAAATAGAAAATGAAAGACAGAGCAAGTCACAGCAGGTAAGAGTGGAGCAAAGCAACAATAAACAATGACAACAAAATCTAGAAAATAATACAGGGTGAGGTTGAATTCATTACAAAGGCCCTAAGGCACTTATGAAATGGATATTTTAGACGTGTGCAACTCACACAGTTACACGCACAAAGTCTATCTGGGCTGACTAAGCCACAGAGAACATGAATCAACATTCTAAAACCAAAGCAAAAACAAAAGAGAAAAAAAACTGTATCGTATATAATAGAACTGGCACACTGCATTTAGGACGGGGTGTGCATTCCTATAAATGGGAGAACCAGCGGGGTAGGTGTCATAGGGAACTATTCTGGCTTAACCTTTAAAGAGAATAACTCCAGACACTGTAATTAATTCCCCAGGACAACATATAGGAAGGAGTTTATTGGCTCAGAGCTTTACCTTCTCCACATTCTGCAAAATTGTTCCAAGACAAAGTATAGTTTAGTCCTAAAGTGTGTCCCACATCCTTCTAAAGATCCAGTAAGTATTTTAATCATTAAATGTTTGCTTGTCCTTTAGAAACAATGTGCAGTGAGCCAAACAGCAATCACTGGAAAACAGAATGTTAATGGCAGGGAGACTACTGTGCAATAAGCAAAGCAGTTTGCCAAAAGGCAGCGGCACTGAGGGATGTGCCAGGTGAGCCACGTTCACTGACACGGGGAAGACAAGGCACTGTGAACCATGGGCATACCGTGGGCTACACAGAATCCAGGCTATGGGGGGCAGCACTAATAAGGCTATATGTGAAACAAGATTTAGTATGTTTCAAGTTTCGTTTTACATTTTTAATTCTTCCTATATGCTTTGTCAGATTGTTTTCTCATACACTCATCTTCCAGAACCTTGGCAGGTCTAATATTGATTTGAATGAGCATAGATTTTAACTACACAGCTGTTGCATTTGCTACAAATATTCACTTGACCTTGTTTCCAATTTTACCTTGATTGTTTAGTTTTAATTTTATAGTTTTAGATTTTTATGCTATAAAATTTCTCAATCTGTTTTCTTTGTGATTTATATCTGTTTCAAACTCAAGAAAGCAAACTTTTCTCCATGACAGTGTTTCCCAAAGTATATTCCACAAAACTCCAGGTATATAAGATGCTATAAGAAAAAACTATTTCATGGTCAAATAAATATGGAAAATGTCACTGTCTTTGGTCTGTCTGACAAATGTGAAATAAACATGTCTAAATTTTTTATATCCAATGTTTCTCCACTGAATTTGACAGTGTAACCAATTTTACATGTAGCACTTAACAACATCCCAGTGATTCAGTGGTCCATGGAACACACTTTGGGAAATAGTCTATATTCTATAGAGCTTTGAGAGGCTTCTGTTTTTTTTCAAGATTTAACATTTTAAAACACATTTTATCCTGAATGCATCTGAAGTTTATTTGTAATGTGGTGTCATTAAATAATTCTTAATAATAAATTAATAATTAAATTAATAATAATTAAATAATTCTTCTTTTTCTTTGTCCTCTTCTCATTTTAAGCAAATCACTTATCAAATACCAAGTTCAGAGAGAGTTGCAAAAGCAGACTGCAGAAAACATTAACATTATAAAACGGGATTCATTTCTCCAATGTGGGGCTGATGTTAATGACTTCGTACTTGAAGCGACTCTTTGAGACAACTGATTAAATCTACCAATTTATATTAAGCCTGGTGGTAATTTTCTTAGTGATTTTCATGATGCTGTGTCAACTCCTGCTGGAAGCTTGAGTTATTTGGGCAAGAAGCTCCCAGACTCCGGTCTTGAGATGAGACTAGGGAGAGGGACAGAGTGAGAAAGTGGGGCAGTCTTGCCTGAATAATCATGGAAATGCCATGTCTCAAGTTTCAAGTCATATTTCTAAATACATTTAAAAATGGCCCTAGAAAGTTGCAGTTTCTGTCAGAATCCACCTACTCCTTCAAGTTTCCAAATGCAAAGTCTTTCTGCATTAGACTGCTCTTGAGAGGGGACAAAATCCTTTTGGAGTCCTAAGTCTAGTATTACTCAAGGTTCTAAAATATAAAAAAAGAATAAGAATGCTCTCCCTCATCTTTTGTTCTAAACGAGATTTTATATTTTATAATGAATGATTATGATTATGGTAATATCCATGTGTGTCACTCTGAAAATTCTCCATATTAAAAAAAACAAACACAGATTAATCTAATTTTCTTTTTAAATGAGAAAGTTCTCAGAACTGGTTTCCCTAAGATATCCCCATACCATTGTCAAATTATAGGGAGACAGTATCCCTGGGGATGGGAGTGAGAATCTAGCCTTTCACTTAAAACCATGAGTAATTCACTTCTGAAGTTGGAAAGCAAAAAAGTCCATTGTATTGATTTCCGGCTACAAAGTAAACTGCATCTCCTGGATAGGACGTTGGGATTTTTACCTTTTCCTTCGTTATCAACTATAGTCATATCAGCCTTTGCGTTGGCTAGTATTTCCACGGACAACTCATGGCCCAGTTCTGCGGCCCTCATTGTCGGAGTACAGCCCATCCGGTCTTGCACATCAGGGTGAGCACCAAGGCTAAGGAGAAAGCTGACCATATCAATGTCATTGGAAACCGAGGCTAAGTGCAGGGCACTGTGTCCGTTGACGGGGTCTGTGAAATTGATTAGTTCAGGGTACCCAAGCCTGGTCAGCTTCTCTATCTGCTTCTTGTCTTTGTTCCGAACACACTGAAGAACCTTGTAGATCTGCAAGTTCTCAAGTCTCTTATCTGCTAAAGCCATACTTGACCAGCTTCTCGAAAATGCTTTTCTGGACCAAAACAAAAACTATAGCAGCAAAAAAAAACAAAAAAAAATATAACCCAAAGTTAATTTTTTCATCTTCATTTTGATTAAATAATAACAATATTTTATGCCTTCCCTAAGAAGAGAGGCTATTTCTTAAGAAACATTATTACCATCATTTATTACAACTGACTTCATGAAAATAGAAAGACATATAAATACAAAAATATTCAGCTCGCATAAAGTTAAAATATTTCAAAACAAATCTTTCATCGTAATGAATACTAGTCTTGCTATGCAGTTTTCTTGTTATCTCATTTAACCTTCCCTCCTGGACACAACCTTCCCATTTACCTATGAAGAAGGTGAGGCTAATTAAATTGCCACAGTAAGGATTTGAGCTCCCCACTATATGGCTGTACCAGCATGTCCCCCACAATGTAAAGACCATACAGGTTTTAATCGTTAAAAAATGTTATAAAGAACATGTAGAATTTTGAGGTGTTCATTATAAATGGGAATCTATAGGCCTCTGTGAGATACCAAAGATGAGACAGGTGATTCCTGTGTCATCTTATATGGGAACGAGGCAGGTAAATGGTTAAGAGACAACTGTAAATTTTCATAAATAATCCCACTGTTAAATTGTGATGAGCACTCTAATATGTAATTTTATCTCCTTCTATAAGTACGGAAAACCAATCTTCTGAATTGAGTAGTGGGCCACGCCAGGTATGGCCAGCTTGCCTGTCTCCATTTTCCTCCGGGAAAAGAACCCAATTATCACGCAGGGAGTCCGTTCCAGGTAGTACAGGGGTGCTATCCAAGGCCAAGTCATTGCTGCAGCCTCTAATTTGTCTCACTGCTTCCACAGCAGACCCTATAGTCCATTCTCTATTCAGTTCCCAAAAAATCTTAAAAGATTTTCATAGATCAGATAAGATCAGACAAACTTCCACCCCCAATATTTTGAATGGAACTGTCCCTTCTATCCCCTGTGATAGGAATGGGTCCGAGACCTTGGTTTAGCCTGTTTGAGTGGACGCTCTCCCCAGGTACAGTGAATGTCTCAAGCATATGCTCAGAAAAGATGTCAGCCAGTCAGCATCCTACTGGACCCTTCTGCCAGAACTATATGGAAAGACCACTCTTTCTGCCGAAGCCATTCAGCAGTAGGTGTGGGGCTGTGGCTGCAGGCAGCCATCTTGGCTGTCACAGAGAAGACGTGTTTGAGAGACTGAGACTGAGGGCAGAAGTTGCACTCAGGTCTCAGTTGTGCCGGAATTCTCTTAGGGTTGCATGAGTAAATATAACCTTTCTCTCCACCTTAACTTAGCATAAGCTAGTTAGCTGAGTTTCTGTCATTTGCAATGAAAAGCTTCTATATTACTACAAAATCTGAAACTGCACCATCTTTTTCCCACCACAAAGCTGCTCCATCATCTACATTCTCTGTGGCAGTAAATTGCACTGTCGATCACTTTCTCGTTCTTTAGATATATATCTCTCTAGGCAACCATAACATCTCCATTGCTTGTTTCCCTCCTACCGCACCACCCATTGCTCAGTCTCCTGAGCTGGCTCCCCCTCTTCCGTTAAAAGCCTAATTGTTGGAGTGCCCACGGCTAGGCCCTCAGGACCCTTTCTCTATTCTCTCACACTCCCCTGGTGATCTCACCCCACATCAGGACCTTCCCTCCAATTTGCAGTTTCTGATTGTTCACTGTCAAATTTACACAGCTATCTCTGACTCTCCCCAGAGCTCCAAAGTTATATATCTACTGAAACCGAGAACTAGGAGGTTAAAAAATCTTCCCTAGAGCAAATACTTTGAGATAAGTTTCGCTAACTGCAGCTGTGCATATTCAACATAATCAACTGTTTAAAACTAACCAGGTCTTTCTGTCCCTCCTTAGTATATGAGTGAGCTGTATTTCTCAGAAATTCAAGGTCCAGATGTCAAGATTCAGTCGTCAAAGCCAAACGCAGGCTGGCGGGAAGGCGCCAACCAGCAAGGACACATGTTCTCCCTCCCCTGCTTAAAACCCCAGATAAAAACCCCTACCTTTTTCCCTTCCAGGAGGTGGATCCGAGTTCTAACCCTCTTCTCCTCATCTGGCTGCCTTTCGATAATAATATACCCTCTTTCCTTGCCACAAGCCTGACGTTTCAGTTATTGGCCCTACTGTGCGACAGGTAAACAAATCTGTGTTTGTGTTCGGTAACATTACCTGTCAACTCTTCATTGTCACTTGGACACCTAATAGGCATCTGAAATGTAACACGCCCAGAGCAGAACTCTTAATATCACCCTGACCTGCTCCAGTTCTCCCCAGTTCCAATAATGGCATCACCATCCATCCACCTACTCAGTTACTCTTCATTCTTTCTCTCACAGATCCCCTACTGTTTATATCCATCTGCAAATCCCATCAACTCTGCCTCCAGTATATATGCTGACATCGACTCCCAATGGTTCTATCCCAGGACAAAACAATGCTACCGCCTTTTAATTTGTCTCACTGCTTCCACAACAGCCCCCTATAGTCCGTCCTCTGAACAGTAAGTCTTTCAAAAACATAGATCAGATAAAATCAGCCAAGCTTTCACACACATCTAAAACATTTTAGTATAAATATTTTTAACATAAAGAAAAGTTGAACACCCATATATCTACCACTCCGCTCCTACCATTAATTATTTACTTGCTTTATCACATATCTATCCATTCCTCTATCTATCCATTAATCCAACTTATTTTTTAACCCATTTCAAAGTAAATCGCAGACATATTCCAGCATACATATCCTTAACTAGAGTTCAATGTTTGTTTATAACTATAAACTAATAGTTTATACTTTTCTTTTTGGTCTTTTGAGTATATAATGAAATGTACAAGTATTAAGTGTACCATTCCATGAGTTTTGACAAATGCACTTGTGCAATCCAAACCCCTATCAAGATAAAGAACATTACCTTCACCCAGGAAAGTTGCCTCCAGTCAACCTTTTAAAAGTACTTCAATAGCTTTCCATTGTGATCAGAATAAATTCAAATTCTTCATGATGGTCTCCTATGGACCCTTTCCCTACCCCTCTGACCTCACCTCCCCACTCTCCCTTGATTTGGCGTTCTCCGGCCACACTAGCCTTTCTGTTTATGGAATGAAAGCTCATTCCTTACTCTGAAAGTTTGCCCTTCTTGTTTCCTCTGCCTAGCGTGCTCTTTTTTTTTTTTTTTTGAGGAAGATTGGCCCTATGTTAACATCTGTTGCCAATCTTCCTCTTTCGTCTTTCTCCGCGAAGTCCATAGTTGTATACCATAGCTGTAGAGTTGTAGCTCTTCTATGTGGGATGCAGCATCAGCATGGCTTGATGAGCAGTGAATAGGTCCACGCCCAGGATCCTAACCAGCGAACCCTGGGCCACCAAAGCAGAACGCGTGAACTTAACCGCTACGCCACCGGGCCGGCCCCGGGAGTGCTCCTTGCTCAGAATTTCCATTGGTCAGTGCTTCTCACCATTCAAATTGCAGTCACCATGTTACTTCACCCCCTTGTTTTATTTTCTTCATAGCTCTCATTGTCTGAAAACATTTTATATTTAACATTTATATTATAGATATATAAATATATTCAATTTATGTATGTCTCCCCCACTAGAATATAGTCTTTATGGAACAGAAGCTTTATATTATGACCATTATTTCTCCATCACCCAGAAACTGACTCATATGAGGCATTGAATAAATGTTTGCTCAATAAATGATGACTGCAAGTTACAAGAATTGAGCAGAAGGGAAGAAAACTCCTAGGCTTCTGGCTTGAGCAACTGGCTACCTGTATCCGAGACGGGGAACTCAAGATGGGGTCTAGATTGGTCAGGGAGTGCAGACAGTTCAGCTTTGGGTATGCTGAGTTAAAATCCACAAGGCCATAGGGTACATAATTCAGGAGAGAGATCTGAGCCTGATCCACGGGGAGGTATGAGGTTTTCAGCGGTTGTGGGGCAGCCTGAGACGGATGAAGGCAAGGAGGAGAGAGTTTCAAGTGGGAAGAGTGACCGTCATCATCCAACACATGCTGTTGTCTCTTCCTTCTTCTCTCCCCACTCTTCTGCCTGCTGTTTATTCTTTGTGCTTCCTCCTTTGCTGCTGGGACATCGGCCATCACGTGGCTTGTGGTCTCAGTGTCCTGTTTGCTATAGCCCCTCTCTTCCCTTCTAATCTGTTTATCACGTGCGGTGGACTAGGAAACCAGATAAGCAGCTTGTTAGAACCGTGTGTATAAACAGGCTCCCAATAAGTCCAGAGCTGCCTCAGAAGTCATCCACGTGGCCTTTGCTGCTTGGCTTGGTGACATTTTAGCCGCTGTTTATGGCTTGTTTTATTATTCTCAGCCATATTCTGGTTAGGTGCAGGGTCGTCATACTGCATACTTATGTATGTCATATACAGAATAGGATAAGATGCTCCTAAATAGCTCATTGACTGTACTGCCACCTCATTTGTGTGGACAGACTTCCTAATCAGACACTTGGATGTCATCTCTAAGAGCAGCCACCCCTAAGAAAGACTTAGCGGCATGTGGCATTCAAGCTACAATGATGAATTCAGCAGTCCAGGGGACAGTCTGATGGCTGGCATCCCTCCCAGCTAAAGCCCCGAAATGCTAGGGAGGGAGCACTGCCCTGTGCAATGTCCTTCACCACCAACTGCTAAGACTGACCAAGAGCCTCACCCCACTGGAGAAAATAACAGGAGTCCTGCCCTCTAGTCCTGGGTTCCCCGCAAATTGTGTAAATTCCTTGTAAATCTCTGATTCTCAGGAGGGGTGTCATATATACACAGACTTCAGGATGTATACTTGACTTCAGCATGACCCCGGGGCACGTTGATATACCCCATCTAACCATCTATATGGACAATCTCAAAAGACAGTGGAATACAACAGGATTTCTGGACTTGAGGTCCATGTCCCGGGTCTGAATACTCTGAAATTATATGAAAATCTGTGCGGTGTGTGCGTTCAGGTGCATTTTTTTCCTGTGGGGAGAGATGCATAGTGCTTATCAACTTCTCAAAGGAGTCTGCGAGACAACAGTGGTTTGTTAGAAAGAGCAATGAAGGGAGGCGCTGGGAACAGTGGAAAGAGTGTAGGATTGGAGGGGCGGAAATCTGTTGTTGCTTCTGATCCTCCTTTCTCTGTATCATCACACAAACTGGTTGGATAAACCTGGACATGTTACCTACCTACTTTGTGCCTCAGTCTCTTCATCTGTGAAACGGGATAACAACAGTACCCACTTCGTGGGACTGTGTGAAGAGGTAATGATAGAATCCTTGTAAAGTATTTAGCAAAGTTCCTCAATACAGCCTCGCTATGAATAAATCAAACGTCCGTAGGTTTCAACTCACCCATAAACCACGGTTTACATTTGGGCGGTTCTTTACTGTCTCATTCAGTTTTGAGCCTCAGAACAATCGGGAGGGAAGGGTGGCTAAGATGTAATTTCAAGGGAAAGGCCAGGTGGCAGAGACCAAGGTGCTCAACTCACCTCTTATTCGCGGGGGTGATCAGGCGCCGCGGATGCCCCGGCACCGATGCCCCCCGGCCTGCGGGGGCGCCCGGCGGCGC